AGAGGGAAAACGAACTCTAGTGCGATTCAACTGAACTAAATAAGGCAAGTGTGAAAGCACCTTTAAAAACAGACAAAATTTCACCAAACCCTACTGTACAATGTATGACATGTACATCATATAGACTGTGCATATGTATAGCATAGCATATACATACAAGTATCCATATAGATGTATAGCATATACAGTAGATAAAAGCATAGTTTAGCTACACCGGTTGTTATTCGCTGTCATAATATGGAAGAGAGTGAGCAGAGTATTTTTTAAAGCTGTCATATACTACATTGATTCAATAAGGTAAATTGTTCTCTGATACCTACATTCTAGGTATGTGGCTCAGCAAAAAAAAAAATCTGTTTTATGTGCTCATTTATTACCCCATAAAATATGCCAAGTATCAGAAGCTCCACATTGACCAAATTTGGAGTGGTCATGAATATTGATGCTGAACTTTTGGTGCTTGCTCTCATGCACTTGCAATCACACAGCACAATGTACTCTGAAATAAACATGCAAAATAATCATAATTCATTTGTTAAATTTTCTTTTTAACCTTTTTAATTTTTGCTAATTTTAACCTCTTGACTTTTTAATTAGGAAGTAGGGTAATGAGCAATTAATTGTATAATGATGGTTTGTTCGGTAGACTGTCGAACAAAAATATAGCTTAAAGGGGCTAATAATTTTGACCTTGAAATTATTTTTCAAAAATTAAAAACTGCTTTTATTCTAGCCGAAATAAAACAAATAAGACTTTAATGTTTAAAAAAAAACATTGCCAGACATACTGTGAAAATTTCCTTGCTCTGTTTAACGTCATTTGGGAAATGAAAAAAAAATTGACATGATGCCTCAAAGTGCATTTATAAAAGTTCACACATACACTCAAGTAGACCAGGGGTGGCCAACCCTGTTCCTGGAGAGCCACCTTCCTGCAGATTTCAGTTGCTACCCATATCAAACACACCTGCCTGTAATTATCACGTGGTGTTCAGGTCCTAATTAATTGGTTCAGGTGTGTTTGATATGGGTAGCAACTGAAATCTGCATGAAGGTGGCTCTCCAGGAACAGGGTTGGCCACCACTGCAGTGGCTGCGTCCGAAACAGCCTACTACTCAGTAGGTACTGCTTTTGAATTTAAACGTACTACTCAGCCGCTAGAAAAGTACATTCTATACAGTATTTATGTGAAATGGTATGAATGGAATTTGGACGTACTACATCTGCCATTTTTTCATAGTCATGCGACCTACCTGCGTCAGTTGCCTCGCTTTACTCTCATTCATGAATTCGCTCGCGGTGCATCATGGGATAGCGCAGCATGCATGGGATGCGCACTCCAGAATCTCGCCGGAAGTAGCATATCATCCGGGTACTTCTCGCATACTGATTTACGAATTCTATGAATTCGGGCATATTACTCGGCTTGCATACTGATTTTAGCATACTATATAGTATGGAAGTATGCGGTTTCGGACGCAGCCTATGTGTTTGTGAAAGTGAAACCTTTAAAGTGTAAAAACCATCTGTCATTGTTGCCGTGCAACATTGCTAAGCCATGGCTTTTCTGTTTCTCCCTTTTTTTTTAAATAAGAGTCCCACATACATAGCAATAGTATATAAACAGTATATAAACATATAAACAGGTTAATATAAGCTTGGATTAACTTAAAAACAAGGTGTCAGTCTGTGTTTTGGCTAGTAGATGTAACAGTTTGTATTGTTTTCTGATTGGCCTTTTTTCACCAAGGTTTTACTTTTGCAAAATTTACAAGAGAACGGGGGAGCAATGGTTTCAAGGCTCACAATATGGCCATTTTATACACTAAACTCTTATTATTTGGCTATGTCTTGTTAGGCAGTTTTGTTTTCATAATTTAATCATCTGGAACTTTTGGGGATGATGAAATTATGATTTGAGTTACATAGTATAAACTTACAGTTTCATTACAAACACATAGTATTTTGCACGCACGCGCAAAGTGAAGAGCCGGGGAAGGTGCACGCAAACTGAACTGAAGAGCGGAAAGTGGGTATGAAGATGCTTGCGTGTTGGGTTCGGCGCACATGGGGACTGTACCAAAAAGCTGAGGAGCCCTGGTGGGGGTGGGGTGGAATTCCAGGAGACAGAACAATACGTGAGAAAGGTGAGAGATGGGAAAAACGGGAGTGTTGGCAGGTATGGCTATCATGTGCTATGGGAATATGAAGTAATAAATAAATTATGGGAATATTGTTACACATTTGTTTAGTTCAAGTGCTTTATTGTCTGAAAGAATGAACATAATGAAGGATACCAGGCTCATTCTTGCTTTTTTTAAATCTTAAAATATCCATTCATGTCATATTTAATAATACATTTTTTTTCCTTTACTTTCATCAATTGGTGAAGGTCGTTCCTCGCCACTGTTGTCACTGGCTTGCTTGCTTTAGGACTTGTGGAGCTGCACATCGATGGGTTTGCTCTTCAGTGTTGAACATTCAGCTGTGAAAATTAAACTACACTGAACTGAACTGAACAAAATCTACAAGGCTTGATTCTTTCATCTCTCCTGTTCAACCTTTATATGCTCCATCTGGGCCAAATAATAAGAACCAAATCTCCTACCACAGCTATGCTGATGACACTCAGATCTACCTTGCCTTACTGCCTAATGACTACAGCCCCATTGACACCCTCTGCTAATGCATTGATGAAATTGACAATTGGATGTGCCAAAACTTTCTTCAGTGAAACAAATACAAAACTGAAGTCATTGCATTTGGGAACAGAGATGAGGTTCTCAAGGTGGATGCGTACCTTGGCTCTAAAGGTCAGGCAACAAAAAATATGGTCAAGAATCTTGGAGTCAGATCTGAGGTTTAATAGTCACGTCAGGGCAGTAAGTAAGTCAGCATACCATCATCTCAAAAACATTGCAAGCATTATATGCTTTGTTTGCGATGAGGACTTGAGAATCTTGTTCATGCTTTTATCAGCAGCAGGGTGGATTACTGTAACGGCCTCCTCACTCGCCTTCCCAAAAAAACTATCAGTTACAGCTCTTCCAAAACGCTGCAACCAGAAAATCAGAGCACATCAGACCTGTCCTCAGTTCTTTACACTGGCTCCCATTTACATTCAGAATAGATTTTAAAGTATTACTACTGCTCTATAAATCACTATATGGCCTAGGACCTCAATACATTACAGATAACTCAGATCATCAGATAAACTAGAAACTCCAAGAGTTCAGTCAAAGCAGGTTGAGCCACTACGCCCCTCGCTGCTGGAATCAGCTTCCAGAAATGATCAATTGTGCTCCAACATTAGGCACATTCAAATCAAGACACATCTGTTTAGCTCTACCTTTACTGAATGAGCATTGTGCTGCGTCCGACAGATCGCACTATTGTGTTTTTCCTTTTTTCATTCTTTCATAACCAGTTTTAACACATTTTCATCTGTTTTTAATCATTTTTATTATTTGTTTTATTTTCTTATTTTGTTTATGTAAAGCACTTTGAATTGCCACTGTATATGAAATGTGCTATATAAACAAACTTGCTTAAACTTGCATAAACTCTGAAAACTGGACTGACACTGTTTTAATTTACTAAAACTTCTATGTTAAGCTGCTTTGACACATTCTACATTGTAAAGCGCTATAGAAATAAAGGTGAATTGAATACATACTGTGAACAATCGACTATCACATATCAGAAACATACTAGTGAGATGAATTCATAATAAATAGCCATTAATACACAATTTAAAATGACAGGGATACATGGAAATAAGAGATAAAAAAATATATATCATTATTATAAGGCATAACACACCAATTTGCTTTATTTTAGCATGTTTTCCCAGTCCGTTGATCCACATCTGTGGTCTAACATGATAAAATGCTCATGACGAGAAAAACCGAGGATCACCTTGCAGTTGTGACCTAGGGCACACCACCTCTTTAGTCTGATTGGGTGAGGATTCATTAGCTCTTCCATGATAAATGGAGTGAATTTCCCCTGTACCACCACCGCAGACATCGGCTCTTGAGTTTCACAGTGACTGGAGATCATATATACTGTAACAGGCTATATTAAGAGCTGAAAGCCTACCCAACAGTTTTAGTGAATCAAATAGTGGTTCAAAATTCGATGTATCACGGGAAGCTCATGTTTGGAGGCTTTACTTGAGTGATTAAACATCCAGTGTTGGGGATTAGCCAACTGAAAAAAGCTACTTACTTAACTACATTTGTCAGGAGCATGACAGCATTTCAGCTTTTTAGCTGTAGGGTTATATATATATATATATATATATATATATATATATA